CAGAAAACAGGAGGAGGAAGGAGCGGTCCGGCTTCATCCGGCAGGAGTTTTCTCTCGTTTTGTGGCTCATCTAAAGGTAAGCAGCGACCTAAATTTAGTCTGAGCTCAGTTAATCCCGAGTTTAGCTCCTGAAGAGGTCTTCTGCTGCTCTCCTCGGTGCTGCCGCTGTGCTGCATTAACTGCTGATGGTCAGACTGATGTGTGGGAGGTGCCCACAAAGCAGAAAAATACAAATAATACTAATAATAATTAAAGAAAACACCGAATATTTCGTCTTTAAAATGCATTTCTTTGCTTTGCGTTTTTAACGCCACACAACAGTCCGCCATCGCGCTGTTTGTCTCAGAAAAGTCTCTTTCGAGCCGCAAAGCTACAGCCCGACGTAGGTGTCCGCGCAGATGCCTGTTTAGAAATTAGCCAGCGTCCATAAACTGGTCGTTCTTTCCAGTATTCTTGTTCTTCCCACACACGCGTTTATCATTAGACGATGGTCAGCTCTGCACCTAAAGAGACAGAACCCGCTGCCTGCTATCTGCACAGACCAGCTGGAGGTTTAAGAGGAGCTTGGTGACACTACTCTAGTGCAAAAAAGTGATTTCCAATGTTTTTATGTGTAATATCTTTACCTATGTTGTTAAATAGACTTCAGTGAACAGGGTTTACAAAGGGGTTCTATATAAATTTAAAAATAACCTGTTTTTCAAGTATCTTTATAACTCTTTGTTGTTGTACTTACATATCATTTATGAGGGATACATTTAGCATATGTTTCACATGTGTCACATAACACACATAACTAGTTATTGATAGCAGTTTAAATACAAGCAATCAGTTTTTGGCAAATACCGGAAATCAGGGTTTGGCAGACGAGCACAAGCGGCAGGAGAGACGAGACAAAATAAAATACGTAACAGTGATACAGAAACACACTTCTGTAACCGTGGTGGAATACAATCGTTTTAAAAACGGAGGCACACCTGTGCTCAGGGTGAAGGTGGAGGGTGCTGGTTCCCCAGCCCTGCACTTTGGGGTCTGTTAGTCAGAAAGTGAAGCATCCAGTTGCTGGTCAGTATAGAGTTGATTGATGGTCAGCTTAGAGGAGAAGGTGGTAAATGCTTCTTCCTATTTGAGTCCAGTGATGATGAGGGTGGGGTCAAAATGGAGTAACTTTGTGACAAAGCTGGACAGCTTTTGTTCTAAAGGTTTGGAGAGAGTCTGTCTGTGTGTGTGTCTGCATTCACTTTGTTCCTCTAACAGTAAATCAGTGTGCAGATGTTGATTCCTGCAGTGACTGTTGTTCTTCATCCTGCAGCTGCTGGAACAAATCACTCCTTTTAATGTTTTCTATTTAGAAGATTATTTTTATTTTCTCTGCTTCTTTTTGTCAGGCATCAAAATGATGTCCTAATCCTTAAAGTTCTGTTTTTGTGTCCCAGCAGGAGAAGAGTCTGATGGAGAAGCCGAGGAACATTTTTAGCCGTTAGGACTCAGCTCAGTCACTACAGAGGAAACAATGAGCTCGACACAAAACGTGAGAAAAATATCTCAGTATATCACAGCACTGTGCGCAAGTCTCAAGCCTCATTTCTTCATATTTTGCTTCCAAGCACCCAGACGTTCTTGTAGTTTTATTGTGATCTTGAGCATTTTGTGCAATATCTGAAAGCCATGTCCTTAAAACGTAAAATAAAACAACAGAAAAGTGGTCCAATGCAGACTCCAGTGAGGAAAGCTCACTGGAGTCTGCACAAGTCTGCAGATGCATAGTTGTAGCACAAGTCTGCTACAACTATGCATTGTCATTTGAGAAAAGTTCAGCTGGAGGATGATTGAAGAACATTAGAATAGTTCCCAGTTAGATCAGAGCAACATTTTTCCCTGAAATTCTCATCCCTTATTACTAGGGACAGTCCAGTAGAGTCATTTCTTAGTCGACTAAACAAGGAAAAAATATTAGACTGACTAATCTAAAACTAAGAAACATTTAGATATTAAGTTAAATTTAAAAAAGTAATAATAACTAATAAACTAATAACAAGCCATCGATCACATTCTTCAACAATAAATCCAGCAGTTTAACTGTGCCGCACTTCGCATCATTCATTATGACTATTACACATTATACTCCAGACAGACAACAACATACCGATGTTAGATATGATGTGAAAACACATTTCTGCCAAAGATGTTCACGTATCACTAAAACACGACAAACTAATATCCAAAAAATGAATAAACTGAGACTGAAAAGTACAGCGCGTTGTGCCATGCGTTATGAATGATGGACCTGGTTTCAAAGTTTATGATGACCACTTTGATAAAAATTAAAATCTAAAATAACAAAACGATTAAAACTCCTCCAGCTTATCGATTCAAAAATGGAACCATTCCCAGGTTGGCCAGTAGGTGGCCTCCTCCCAGATGTGCCCAGCTGGAACACCTTTCGAT